CCCAATTTTTTTAAATAATATTTCGTTTGTATTATAAACACATTTTTCAACCCATTTTTTTATATTTTCAACCACCTTTTTATCTAGGGATAATTTCAGAAACCTCCCCTGAGGTTTCTGACATTTACACTCACCTCCCCTGTGGTTTGAACAATTACACTGACCTCCCCTGAGGTTACTATTCCTTTACAAATTCAATCCAAATGATTAAAATATTTTTTTAGAGAGTGAAATTAGAATTTTGTACCTGATTTGCCATTTGTGCTACATGTCCAATGAATGACAAAGTATTACAAATTAATTAATAATTAATAAACTTTAAGGAGCGTAGTTTATAGGCAAATACGTATTACTTATTTAAAGTACCAGCTCTTTACGGATATTTTACTTTCAAACATTTACTTTATTACAAATATTTATTCTCAAATACAGATTTGTATTTACTCTCAAATATTTAATTTTCGTTAAATAAAAACCTACCAGTTTTTCTTCGGTAGAAATATTAATATAACACTTTTTCAATTTTAGTTATAAATATTTATGTATTTAGCATAAATTAAATGATTCAGGATAAAATATTCATAAAGAGCTAATACTTTACTCATGTAATGGATGAAAATCATAAAAAAATTAATACTTTATGAGCCATTTCTTTTTTAAAAAAATATTTAATTTATATCAAATAGATAACCTACTGATTTTCTTTTTACGAGAATATTACTGTAACACTTTTTAATTTTTAATTACAAACGTTAATATATTTATCATAAATTAAATATTTGAAAATAAAATATCTGTAAAGAGCGGGTACTTTAAATAGGTTATGTGTATTTGCCTATAAACTACACTCCTTACTTAAATCAATAAACTAAACTCCTTAACTTAAATCAATAAACTATACTCCTTACTTTAAAGAGTATAGTTTATAGGCAAATACACATAACCTATTTAAAGTACCGACTCTTTACAGATATTTTATTTTCAAATATTTAATTTATGATAAATATATTAACGTTTGTAATTAAAAATTTAAAAGTGTTACAGTAATATTCTCGCAAAAAGAAAATCAGTAGGTTATCTATTTAATATAAATTAAATATTTTTTTAAAAAAGAAATGACCGATAAAGTATTAATTTTTTATGATTTTCATCCATTACATGAGTAAAGTATTAGCTCTTTATGAGTATTTTATCCTGAATCATTTAATTTATGTTAAATACATAAATATTTATAACTAAAATTGAAAAAATGTTATATTAATGTTTCTATGGAAGAAAAACTGGTAGGTTTTGTATTTAACAAAAATTAAATATTTGAGAGTAAATACAAATCTGTATTTGAGAATAAATATTTGTAATAAAGTAAATGTTTGAAAGTAAAATACTCGTAAATAGTTGGTACTTTAAATAAGTAATGCGTATTTGCCTATAAACTACGCTCCTTAAAGTTTATTAATTATTAATTAATTTATAATACTTTGTCATTCATTGGACATGTAGCACAAAGAACAAATCAGGTACAAAATTCTAATTTCACTCTCTAAAACAATATTTTGATCATTTGGACTAAATTTGTAAAGGATTAGTGACCTCAGGGGAGGTCAGTGTAATTGTTCAAACCACAGGGGATGTTAGTGTAAATGTCAGAAACCTCAGGGAGGTTTCTGAAATTATCCCTTTTATCTAACATACATTATATTATAAAAAGTGTTATAATAATTATTTCAAATTATTCTTTCCAAACAAACCCATTAATAAATTTCCTGCGTACACCTGTATCCTAACACCCTGCCTTGAGGCCCAGCAGCCCGGTGGCCAGCCATGCTGAATACCAGAATAATTAAACTGTAGCCGTCGCGGCTTCTAGGAAGTGTTTGATTCCACTCGCCGGTCAAAATTATCCACAGCCACAGGTTGAGTTGATAAGTTGCCATTTTTCTTTTATTTTTTGACCAAAGGATTTTATTAGATTACGACTTTTTTGGGTATCCAATGTTCAAATTTCTCAGCGGATAAGGACTTCAGCAGCTGGCTCTTTTCATCGTTACTCTTGGCAGGATTCATGTTGCATTGTCTTATTTCTTGATCGAACATCACCTTTGAGAACAAATAAGGCTAGCTAGCGTGTGCCTTGAATGCATTTCTGCTCCTTTAATGGGGTTTGGGTTTGGTTTTATCATAGCCCAAAATGGGGATGAGTACTGGTCGGCTATTGTTTCATGCACCATTTGATTAATTTGATATACACTGTGTGAGTCAGCTTTTTTTTTTTTTAATTTTTTAAAAAATAATTTATACTAATTTAATTTTATATTTTATACTCTCTCATATTTTTTAAAATGAAATTTTTGTTTTTAACTTTTAAAATATTAATTTTTTATCAATTACAAATTCAAATTAGTAAAATTTAGTCTCAACTTAGGTTTCGAACTATTTTTTAATTTGAAATCACCACATGACTGTACATGATCTTTTTTATAGGTATAAAAATGTCAGATCCTACCTCTGTTTTTGTAGAGGTGTTAAAAAAAAAAAAGTAACCCTATATGGGTAGGTAGTTTATAAGAACAAGAAAAAAATGAGTTGCTGATTTGCGTGAATAAAAGATTAGAGAAAATTGGATGGAAACAGATTTCAGTTTTATTACAACTATGATACACTTCCTCTTCTCTCCAAGCATGGTGTTTCTAAGTGAGACTAAAAATAGGACAATTTACATGAAAAATGTGAAAAACGTTTTAAAATTTGATGAGATGGTTGTTGTTGAAGCAATGAACAAGGCAGGTGGGCTCGCCCTACTTTGGAAAGAGGAAGTAAAGGTTCTTCAGGTATTGAAGACTGCATTCACCATAGAGGCGCATGTGGTGGATTTGGAAAATAATTCTGATTTGTGGTTTGTCGGCATTTATGCGAGTTGCGACAATCACATTAGGAAACAACAGTGGAATGTCATTGAAAGAAGGAAATCACTGTGGGGAGAAAGATGGCTCTTAGCTGGTGACTTTAATGATATCATCTCCAACGAAGAGAAATGGGGTGGTATTTGCAGACAGGAAACAAGTTTTCAGGATTTCAAGCAATTCATTAATGGAAATCAACTTATGGATATTGGATTCACTGGACATCCATGGACTTGGTGTAACAATTGGAAGGATACGGGGGAGATCAAACAGCGATTAGATAGGGGTCTTTGTAGTTTCTCTTGGTCACAGGTTTATGAGAACGTAGTGTGCAGACATATAGATTCTTATGCATCTGATCACAGCATTTTGATCATAGACACTAAGCCGAACTTTAGTCCGCGGCGTAAAAGATTTTACTTTGACAAGAGGTGGCTACAAAGAGCAGACATTAGGGATGTGATCAGGGAGGCGTGACAGCAGGAGACTCAAGGATCTAGGATGTATCAAGTTACTAGCAAGATAAAAAACTGCCGTCTAGCTCTCAGTAAATGGAAGAACAGGTTCCAAACAAACTCTAGGCAGAAGATAGAGAGTATTCAATTTCAATTGAGTGAGCTGAAAAACTCAACAGGGAGCACCATAAATGGTTTTAAGGCATCTCTAAAGAGACAATTGAAGGACGCATACCAAGAGGAAGAACAATACTGGCAGCAGAAATCAAGGATCCAATGGCTCAGGGAGGGAGATAAAAATACAAGATATTTCCATGCCTTGGTTCAAGGTCGGCGAAGGCGAAATAGGCTGAACAAATTACAGCGAGACAATGGTACATGGACTGAAGGTGAGGAAGATCTGTGCAAAGAAATTAAGGACTATTACAGGAATCTTCTGAATGGGAATGAGGGAGGGGACTTAACTGAAGTACTGGATGGTATACCACACTCTATCACGGATGAAATGAATGAAAACTTGCTAAAACTAGTTTTGGAAGACGAAATTAAATCTGTTGTTTTCTCTATGAATCTGGACAAAGCTCCTGGGATTGATGGTATGTCACATTTATTCTTTCAAAAATTTTGGACTACCATCAAACAAGATGTGGTAAATGCCATCCAAACTTTTTTCCATACTGGTCACCTTTTAAAGAGTGTTAATCACACAGTGATTACTCTTATTCCCAAAGTACTAAATCCTACATCCTTGAAACAGTTTAGACCCATTAGTCTCTGTACTACCATGAACAAGATCATAGCTAAAATTTTAGCCAATAGGATTAAAAGTGTCTTGCATTGTTGCATTTGCAAAAATCAATCTGCTTTCATTCCTGGTAGGCAAATTCTTGACAACATTATGGTTTCTCATGAATATTTGCATTATCTAAAAAACATGCGACATGGCAAGGAGGGGTTTATGATAGTTAAGCTTGACATGTCTAAAGCCTATGACCGTGTGGAGTGGAGCTTTTTGGAAGCAATGATGCACAAGATGGGATTTCACAGTACATGGATAAATTGGATAATGCAGTGCCTAAGTTCTGTTTCCTTCTCTTTTAATATTAATGGGGAGGTTAAAGGGTATGTCATCCCCAAGAGAGGAATTAGACAATGGGACCCTCTATCCCCTTATCTATTTCTAATTTGTTCAGAGGGCTTATCCAACCTGCTTAGGAAGGCTACGGCTAATAGGATGTTGTCAGGGATGAATATAAGCAGAAGGGGACCTAGTATAACTCACATTTTCTTTGCGGATGATTCCTTAATTTTTTGCAAAGCAAATCAGGAGCAAGCAAAGGAGTTAATGAGAGTGCTGTATGTCTATGGCTTGGCGTCTGGTCAAGTGATTAACCTGGAAAAGTCCTCCATTCTATTCAGCAAGAACGTGCAGCCAGGTTTGATGCTTCAGATTTGCCGAACCATGGGGAATATACAAAGAGTCTGTCAAGACAAGTACCTCGGATTACCAATGGTAGTTTCGAGAACAAAACAACAGCTTTTTGGTTTTGTTAAGTCGAACATACAACAGAGAGTGCTCCAGTGAAAGAACAAGTTTCTAAGTACGGCAGGCAAGGAAATATTACTTAAATCAGTGGCTCAAGCTATGCCTACTTATACTATGTCATGCTTCAAGGTGCCATCCAAATTGTGCAAGGAAATCAGTTCACTCATGTCAAACTTTTGGTGGGGAGACATCAATGGAAAAAATAAAATTCATTGGTGTTCCTGGAGAAAGATCACTCAGGAGAAGGACAAGGGGGGTTTAGGATTCAAGGATTTGGAGGCCTTTAACACTGCATTACTTGGTAAACAGGTTTGGCGTTTGATTACTCAACCCAACCTGTTAGTTAGCCAAGTAATGCGGTCTAAGTACTCCAGAACTTCAATATTCAGGTGTAAAGTCCCCAATAATGCCTCATGGTTATGGAGAAGTCTGATGAGCGCGAGACACGTGGTGGAACAAGGCACTAGAAGACGGATTGGTAATGGAAAGAATACACATATCTGGGAAGATAGCTGGCTTCCGGACACAATAAATGGGAGAGTAACTACTTGCAGAGCTACGGATGGTGGACTGCAGAAAGTAGCAGATTTGATTTGCCAAAGAAGATGGAACCGCAATTTGGTTTTCCAAACTTTTAACACCAAAGATGTGGACAGAATTTTGAGTATCCCAATCAGTCTAGCTGACAGGGAAGATTCTCATTTTTGGTTACATGGTGTGGATGGGAATTACTCCGTCAATTCAGGGTATAAGGTGCTGATGGCTGGCAAAGAAACCAAGCAGAAAACAAATCAGAATGACAGCACTACTAGTTGGGAGCATCAGTCTAAGAAGATTTGGAAGCAATTGTGGAGCTTAAAGATTAAGCATAAACAGAAAATATTTCTTTCTCTGGAAATGTCTAAACAATGCTCTTCCGGTCAGAGATATCATCTATGGTAGAATCAAAGCTGGAGACCCTATTTGCATGCGATGTGGAGAGGAAAGGGAGACGATTGAACATACATTTCTGAATTGTGTGGATGCAAAAATGACATGGAAGTTAGCCCCAATCCAATGGGAAGACATATTGGAACAACATGGCTGTTTTAGAAGATGGTGGACATCCATCACTGAAGCTAGACATAGACCACAAGGTTGGCAACATATTGCTCTATCGGTCCATATACTCTGGCAAATATGGAAAGGGAGGAATGGGGCAGAATTCAATGGCAAGAAATACAGGCCATGGACGGCTATTCAGAAGGCATTAAAGGAATGGTCAGAATTGGGAGAAGTAGATAGACTGGAAACTAGGATGAGTACAACCGAAACAGAAGCTCTACATCTGCAACATCCACAGCTTTGTTCACAACATGGTGTCCTGCAATTCAGCATTGGGATTACAAGGGACAAGCACGAACCATGGGTAGGCATTGGAATCTGTCTAATAGGAGGAGCTCAGGGAACACACACAGGCTGGGCAATGCGTGAAACCAGTTCAGGATCTTTCTTGCTGGATGAAGCATTAGCTCTAAAATTGGCAATGTGTAAAGTTGCTGAAATGCAACACAGAGTGGTCCAATTCCAAGTGCAGAATTAGCAGCTCCTCAACCTTATTCAATCCAAACAAGCACGGGATATCAGATTAGCAACTGTGGTGGAGGATATTGTTCAACTTAGACTTTTGTTTCATATGTGGTCCTTTTGTCTAGTTCAAAATGATAACTATCATCTAAGCTCCAAGCTTAGTACTTATGCTTTAGGCATTACTTTTGATGAGGAACTTTTGTTTTCTTAGTGGTTAAATGACCGCTTGTATAGTTTCATCGAGCCTTTGCTCGTACTTATACATCTTTTGAAAAGGAATACAACCATATATCGTTTTGGAAAAAAAAAGATACACTACTATTGGTTTCACAATCCCCACAAAACCCACCTACAGAAACAACCCTAAAAAAACATAAGAAAAAGAAAGAAAGAAAGAGGAAATAATACCAAGTGGACAGTTGGTCAAGTATACTTTAGCAAGGCAAGAAGAAATTCTGCCATCAATACATTACTACTATTTCTTTGGCTTCCAGAATCCTTGAACTCCCTTTTAACGAGATTTCCCAGAGACCATCCAGTTTTAGCAGCAAAAACATTGTTTATTTCTTTGATATCATCATCCAATCTCGTGACTACTATTCTAGCCATGACCTCTTTAGTATCACCCCTCTGCATTGCTCCTCTTAGTTGCCTGGAGAAAAACTTTGCAGGAGATTGAATTCCCCTGACCACAAACCTGAGGTCTTTGCCAAAATTTCCACACTTATTGGACTTGAGAAATTTGGAAAATTCATGGCCGTAGAGTTCTTTGTAAGAAAGTAATATGGCTTTGATTTGTTCTGTATTTCTACTGCTGAAAGTGGACATGATGGTCTTCCAGTCAACCGAACTTCCACTCTCCACAGCTTCGTAAAGTGTCTTGGCATCACACATGGCCATGCTGATATCAACTCTGCTTGCACTTTTGTTGCTTGATTTTAGTACTGCCAGAAGAATCTGAAATACTCCCCAAAAAAAAAATGAAAGCGGGTAGTTAGTATTCATGAATTTTTATTCTGCAGGCAAGCATATATTGAAGTTTAAAATTATATGATTAATTGCAAAAAATGCTACTAACTCTATTTCCACCATATTGGAGCAATTAGAGGTGTGGACCAATCAGAGGAGTATAACACTAATTTTACATTATGACTTAAAATTGACAAGCGAACATTTAGCCAGTGGTAATAGGTTTGACACATATCTAAATTGGTTTCTTTAGGTTGGATTTGGTAATAATTATGTGAGCAGTCAATTTTGACTTTAAGCTTCAAGCACGTGAACTTTTTCGGGCAAAATTAAGGCAAAAAATGTACTCCTTCTATCACAATATTAGAATTTTTTTTTTACATCTAACTTTTTATGAAAACATTATAATCATCATATCTGGATAAGGTGACTCTGATGAGTTTACGTGTCTTTTGAATTCAAAATTTTTCTCGTTAACTATGTATTTAGATTTTAAAAAGCTACTTTTTTAAATCGTAAAATTAGAAAGTATATGTTAAATTTGAAATAATGACTCTTATTTTGAAACATCAATAAAATGAAAACATAACATTTATAATGAGATAGAGGGACTATTTAGAGATAAAAAAAGGTCCGTTCTGAATTTGTGAAGGATTAAGATGCATTATTTTGAACGTGAGGGGTCAGAATTTGACATTGGTAAAATGTGAGGGACGATTGGTGTTGTTGTCCCTTAGTAATAATTGGTTTGAGATATAGAAATTGCAAAATTTTCACTTCACATGGGAGCGATGAGCAGATATTACGCAAATGGGTTTTTTTTTACCGTGTTTTATTCTTTTTTTAACATTCCATGACAAATTCCTTAATTTAATTTTTTTAAAAAAAATTTGGCCGGGATAATTGCTGTGCATAATTCTTGTGTTAGTGTGTACATTTGTTACGACGTTCATATCTACCAATGTTGTAAATATTTCTATAATTTTGTCATGCAATTGGAAGGATAAATTGTTGACTAACCAGGTGCTCTCCAACCTAAATCTAGCAGCACTTTTAATAACCTAATGCATAATACCTCTTTGAAGTTGCCAGAAATTTTCTGGGAAACATCTTGCTCAATGTTGGAACCATAACGGTTGCAGTAGGCTTGCTTGATTGAAGAAAGTTGGCTAGAAGATCGAGTGCACAGTAACTCAATCAGAACATTGAGGTTCACCTTATTCCATCCAAACAATGAATCCCTCATCAGCTCTGCATCACGCTCTTGTGGCTCATTTATGCGAAGATAAACCATATTCTGCAATTTATAAATAGACAAAAAAAAGATCGAAGAATAAAACATGGCATATACAATATCATTAGCTACCATTATTAATTTGTACCAGGAAAGATTCTTACAGCAAAAGGATCGTTTCTTCGAACGTTAGATAAAGCATGAAGAATATCTTGGTTATAGACAGCTGAATACGTTTGCCGAATAAGTTCCATTTCTTGCATGGTTCGACTTGTGAGGATCTCCACGAGCTTTCGTTTAAGTGCACAATTGCCTGCAAAGTACGAAACCTTCTTAGTTACATTTTTCTGTTTTTCAATGAAATGAATCCAAGATGAAGCTAGCTATGTCTAGTTAAGGTCTTCCTGCAAATTAATGTCCGAACGATTGTTCCTCTACCATTGTTAGAGCAATCCCACCATAGACTAGTGGTCTAGAGGGAGTTGACTTGTGTCTTTTACTTTAAAATGTATTAAAAAAAAAGGAGAAAAAAAATGCCAAAGAATGAGACATATATACCAGTGAAAAAAGCATTTAGGCATTCACTGTCCACTCGATACTTCCTACAGCCTTGAACTGAACTTGCCATGATCTAAGAGATTTTTTTGAAGACTAGTAGTGTATTTTCCAAATGTGCTGTTCTCCATTTTGGGAGACCACAATTTATAAGGTGAAGCAAAGGTGGAGATTGACCCTTTGACGTCCCAATCAATTTGTCACAATCCAAGGAATAATATTTACTTTAGTAAAGAAGCCAGTAACCAAAAAAGTGGGAATAATATGATGAAAACTATGAGTAGGTGAAAGAATAAATAATAAAACATATGCTAGAAGCCTCAAAGTTTCAACGGTACGTAGTTTTGTGTACGTTGCTGTTTTTCCACCCACTTTTGCTTTTGATAAATTCCCAGCTGACCTTTTTTGTTTGATGTCAATGGCAAGAATATTTGGCTCTAAGTGCTCAAACACCCACCCATAAAAGGAAAGAATTTAAGGGGGGAAAAAAAATATTGACGACTCTCCTTGATGTCAATCAGCTTTAAGTTTAAGGAACAATAGCCGATCAATGTGACTGCTGTCAAAGTAGTTGCCATCAGGCATTAGATGCTTAATGCTGTTCTGAATTGCCAAGACATTTCTTCCAACCAATGAAAAAAGAAAAGAAAGAAAAATCTGATATTCATGAAGTGCCAGGAAATTTTGGCTGGCCAAGATAATCTCTGTGGCAATTCGAATTTCACAATCAACGTTTTGGCATGTAGATTGGAAGGGGAAGTGTATTGCTGGTTTCTTGTCGTGGAGAAGATCAGCCATTAGACATGGGGTGACTTTCGAGTTGGCCTTCCAAAGTGTTCGAGTCTCAATTAAGCCTTTGAAACTGGAAATCTCGTTTCAGATAAGCCATTCCATCAATTCACGTTTGGCCAATAATTTTAACCAAACTTTAGTAGTAAAGCAAAACTCTAGCAATAATTCAGGGACTTTGAAGAAATTAACCTTCGTCTAGAATGAGCTAAACTATATTCTGATTTGAACTTAAATCCACCAAATTTATACTGGAAGAGATCTGTTCTATCTTTCTTTCTTTTTTTTTAAACTAATTTACATGAGAGATTAATAGTTTCAAGTCCCTAAATAATTGGTAGGATTTGAATTTATCACTGGACCAAACTGTGAATGGATGAAAAGAGCTCATTTGGAATTAAATTTCCAGTTTGGAGTGCTCGATCGGAACTAGTTCATTTTTAAGGGTTGGATCCACACTTTTTTGTCTACTTTAGAGCCCCAAATCAAGATTTATCCCAAGAAATATTGTGGAATAAGATACTACTCGAGACAAGTTTGAAACTCCATGTGTGGAAAAAAGACTTGAGAGTCAAATTAGAAACTGCACAGTTACCTAGTTAATGTTGAGTTTTTTTGCCAAAATAGCACTCTATCTAAAAAATATTCCCAATGTGATTCACTTTCAAATTTTATTCCCATAATGATGTTATTTTTTCCACCTACTTACCCTGATTGCCATGTAGGATAACAAGAAAGGAAAGCTTTAATCTCGTCTATAGTTTCCAACATGAACTAAAAATTTGAACTTTTTTATTGTAAAAGCACAAGAAGATTGCGTAACTTTGATAATTTCCTTATAATTATTTAAAATAAATTCTACCATTATTGATCTTGCTATTATTGGTCTCTGCACTTTTTTAAAAATGTATCAAATTTATTTCATATATTTTTCAAAAATAAATTTGACAAATACAAAAATTGCAACGAAAATTGTAAGTAACAACAAGAAAAAGTTACAAAAATTTCAAAGTTATCAGATTTGTTTATGTTATGCTTCCTACTCCTTGAAAAGAACTTTTACAAAAAGTAATCATACTGAAATTTTCAAGTCTACCAAATTACTATACAAGCAATCAAGTAGTATAAAAAGGCAAATGGCATCCTACTACTGGAAAAAGTCATGTTGTAAGGGAAAAAATGACAAAAATAAGATTTTTTAAATTAAATTTTAAAAATGCAATAAAGTTCTCAACATCCATATCTTATGCAAAGAACTAAAAAACAAGATATTCTGAACTGAAAAAACTATCATGGTATAATTACAATAAATTTGCAATCAATAAATGTGTCTCATAATCATTGCCAATTGCAAGCAATTTTGAAATATTTGAACCCACACTCTTGAAACTTCCTTAAGTGTTAGCAAATAGGAAATGAATACAAGAATGTCATTAGGCAATCCACTAATCCTATGTTCAGGCACTTCAATAATGCTAAATTCGAGCACTTCATTGATCCTATCTCCAAAATGGGTAAGTTCTATTTGATCACTGCAAATCATATATAGGGAATGAGGAAAACAAAGAGCTATCACAAGTTAGAAGTTTTTTTTATTGCAACTTGATGTTTTTCATAGCCAGTGATAACATATATCTTGTCCGTGAGTTCATGGTATTTTATCTGATAACTTACTCGAATGGCTTTTGGAGTATCACCCTCGTAACTAAGACCATGTATGCTAGTTGTCATCCTACCATTACAATAAAAAAAAAAAATTAGTAACATTTCTACCAGCCATTGCTACAAAATTCAGCAGCACCACCTACACAAAATTAAAAAAATCATTAATTAAGCAAATATTGTCATGCTATCTAAGACAAGAACTACCAGTATTTGTCAATAATTAGCAAGGTCATCATTTACATGTTATTTATAATACCACTAGATACAAGAACTACTAGTAGATTAAATTGAAATTGAGACTAGTAAATTTCATGCAATGCAAAAGAAATCTACTAATGCAATTAAGATAATGCTCAAGTTGCTCAAAAGTAACACAAACCATCAATTGATGTTGAATAAATGTGCAAAAATATATTAAGTATATGAGATTATTTGGTCATGTGATAGAGAAGCACTACAAATGAACATGCTCGTATATGTGGTAGAAATCAAACATATTGAGCGTGAATCTATGTTGTTATGTAGTTTTCCTCTTGGACATTTTATCAAACACACGGTATGAGAAATCATTTGTTAAATAATTAGTATTCAAAATTTTTTTGAAAGCTATAGGAATATTCCAAAAACTACACAATAGAAAAGATAAGGGAATAATCTTCATTTACCTTAAGATTATCAATTCGGGAAGAATATTTTCATCCACGAATACAATATCAGGAATGATAGTGAAGTTTTAGATTCTATTAATATAAATATTGGCCTTTTAGAATTACTTTTGACAAGAAAAAAAACTAAAGGAAATAGTTCAGAGAGAGAATCAAGAAAGATATTAGATAAAAAAGAAAGATAGAGTGTGCCTCTATTTCTATTCTGCCATATATGCAACTTATGTGGCAAAAAAAGAATTATAAAGATAATAATTTTTAAAATTAGATTACTTTGGGTATATGTTTTAGAAGAAGAGTTACAATAAACTCAGTTAACGTCCCTATCAGTTAAATCTGGTCTTGCGGACTTCTTGTTGATAATTTCTTGCATGTTCTGTCTTAATTGAAGAAGGGGAAAAAAGAAATCATCTTGTCATCAAATGAGCTTCATTGAGCCTAGCCCAATTTTAACTTGGGCTGTTGAGCTTGTAGTCCATGGGGTAAAGCTACTACTCAAGTCTTTTCACCCGCTCTGTACATCACCGACGATGTCGCGGGTTAGATACATACAATACATGGGTGATTTGCTTTGTCCCTAACCTTGAGAAATAGCTCCAGCATCAAATTTTGGACCCTAAAATTGCTTTTTTTTAAAAAAAATCTTTTTAAAATAAACTGTTTAAATCAGATCAAATAACGTGGCTCAATCTGAATCGCAAATCTGAATCACGTCTACGATTGCCAGCGCAACCGTTCCTGTTTCTTGCAATCATTTCTATATGAATGGAGTTATCCACATTAATCTTGGAAGAGACGGTAGTGATACTTATGAGGCGGACGTTTGAGCTTAGTTAATTGGTCTGAGTAAGCACCAAAACCATGTGTCCCATATATGCATGCAGGCTGAAAATTAACATTGTCGTAGGATACGTTAACACTTGCATCACATTCCTCAATTTCATCAACTGCTCACCTCACTTCCTGAAGTTCTGAAATCAAACTATGTACAAACTTTCCTTTCAAATCTTGGAGAGCCAATTTGTCTTCTACCCCTTCAATTCGTGGCCGACACTGCAACATTAGGTCAGTATTCACCGCCATAGTTCATCAATATTTATGCATCCAGCTAAAACCCTTTTCTCGATACATGCATCTATTTCAATCACACATGTAATTGTTCATTAACTCAAAAATATTTCAAACATGGTAGAGTTTCATGAAGAAGAGGATGATCCTCTCAGCCCAGCAAACGCAGAAATTGATCAAGAGGAAGATGAAGTTGAAGAGATTAGCTATGATGATCTCAAGAAACGGATGTGGAAGGATCGGCTGACGATGGAAAAGCTGAAAAGGATGATGGAAAATGAAAGGCTGCTAGCTGAATCCCAAGCTAAAGAAGATATGTCAAGAAGGAAGAAAATGTCAAGAGCTCAAGATTCAATTCTTAAGTATATGGTGAAGATTATGGAAGTCTGCAATGCTCAAGGGTTTGTTGATGGGATTGTTCCAGAGAAGGGCAAAGCTATGACTGGCTCATCTGACAGTTTGCGCGAATGGTGGAAAGGTAAGGTCAAGTTTGATCAAATGGCTCCAGTTGCCATAGCCGAATTCTTGCCTAAAATTATTCAAGAAGGTGGAGTTGATCCAAATTCGCTTTTGTATCTTCTTCAAGGTATACCAGATACTATTTTAGGCTCACTTCTTTCAGCTCTTATGCAACACTGCGTTCCTCCCCAGCGGCGGTTTCCGTTAGAGAATGGTTTGCCACCGCCGTGGTGGCCTACCGGGAAGGAACTCTGGTGGGGTGATCAGGGGATGGCGCAAGAACAAGGCGCACCACCGTATAAGAAGCCTCATGACCTTAAAAAGGCATGGAAGGTGAGCGTTTTGGCTTCTGTTATATATTAAGCATATGGCTCCAGATTTTAACCGATTGAGGAGGTTGGTGAGGCAGTCTAAATGCTTGCAAGATAAAATGACAGCCAGAGATACTTCTACTTGGTCCAGAATTGTTGATCAAGAGGAAGCCCTTTCGAAATTGACTGAGAAAGCACTGAAGATTTCACCATCCGAGCAAGATGATCAAGAAAAGGAAAAGGAGGAGGGCCTTAATTTGGCAAGTGTAGCAGCAAGTGAGAAAAGGAAGTGCATGTTTGAATGTGAGGTGATTTTGGATAGTTTGCTTGCTTGCCAGAACTCTGATTGTCCACAAAGTAATCTAAGTTCTGGATTTTCAGACAAGAATTCTAGGTCTGAGCATGAAAAAACATGCATTTACCGCAAGAGTGATGGTGAAAAGAATGATGCAGACATTAAATCTCAAGAATCTAATTCATTTCCGGTTGGTCTTTCAATCTACCATCAACCATTTCCTGAAGGACAAGTATTGTTCACAGCAGATCAAGTAATGGTTAATGATGATCATCATGGGGTGACCAGCCAACATGATTGGATGGATACGTATCATGATGAAATTGGACAGCTTCCTTTGGATCATGATGCATATGGAAACATGGACTTAAATTTGATTCCATCAGAAGAAAGTCCAGTTCCACAAGAAAATGCAACTTCGATTTGGGATTTGTCATATCATTAAGTACAAGTGGTCATTTTCAGCTTCTGGTCATATTACAGCCCTGTGCTGCAAGACTTATTTTAGTGTTACACTGTTGGTGTTTCTCTTTCTTTATTACATATTTTGTGTACCTTTTTCTCCTACTTCATAAGTTTCTTGCTTTGTTATTCGCTTTAATCTTTGAAGGTTTGTTTTTACTTGGTCACATATTTGGATGATAAATATTCCCAAGTATCTTTTAATCTATTCTTTACATTGGATCATTGACTATCAACTTATGCTTGTAGGAGTATATCATACGAAGCTTTTGCCTTACAATTTCCCAAGAACCTAAAAATCTACCAGATATTACAATTGAGGTGAGTCATAAAAGCTATGCCTCATAGGTATACAGTCTTCAAAGCCCAATCTTGAGCCTGTGCATGAAAAGCCCTTCCTAAACTTTGCTTGCTTGTTCTTCATCTCCACCTCTACAGCAAATACAGCACATACAGGTCTATGATCTGAAAATCTGGATTCTCCCCGAATATAAGATAACTGCTCAATCCCATCTCCACGCCACAATATTCTATCACACCTGAAGTCCATAAATCTAGAAATCAAGAAAATGCTGATTTGATGTGTCATCAAATTCTTTTATGCCATTATTTGTTTTTAAATGCGAAGGAAAAATGGGAAGGATACAAACCATGCTGGGGTTCGCCTCTTTTTCTTAGATTTTACAGTCTCTCCAGCGTAGGAATCAGAGTTGTGTGAGTACTTGTAAGTTGGAGCAAAGAAGATCTTCCCTTCATGAAAACCACTAAATACCCTGCCTGCTTCTCTCTCCATGTTTAGCTGTGCTCCAGTAAGTTAAGACCTTGTCAGTCAACTAAATATAAATGAGAGTTTAAAATCAGAAAAATATGACACAAAACTTCCAGGCTAAAGCCAGCTTTGCCTAATTAGATTAGTAAAACTTGAAAGAACTCTAACAGAAAAGAAAGTGTCTAACAATCGCCAATAATGCAACTAATGCTCACAATCTTCTTCTATTTCCTTATTCCAGTTTTGCTAGAACTTTATTTCTATTGTTGCATGCATCTCTTGCTTGCCCCTTTCTCAGATATATTAGTGGAATTTGGACATGTTCAACGAGTTCAAGAGCTAATACATTAGTAAAACCCTATAAACTCCTAGAATTCGAAATGAAAAATTTGCTTTTAGATGTTTTATTTTCTTTTTCTTAGCTGTGGTATATTGTTTCTTTCTCAAATTTGGATGTCCAAATTTCCAAGCTGCATATTTCTAGAGCTTGTAGGTTAATTAGATACAGTTGCCATGAAAATTGAGCATTATTAAGTAATTATACAATTCATGCACCTTAATCACCTACGTGTAAAAACATATCTAAGCAATACAGTTGTCAGAAACCTGCGATCGTAACGAGTCTTGATACATCGCTGGAGTGGTGGCATAGCTAATGAGTCAATATCATGTTAAGATACTGTGGTTTTAGGCCTCAATGCCATATTAGGTGTCTAGTTGACTTCGTGAAACCTAAGTCTATTTCAAACAAAAATCTCCAATTCAGAACTAAACTGTTGACTAAGTGAAATTAAGGTCTCTTTCAATCAATATCTCCATTTCTAAACTAGACTAGCAATTTCTGAGGCTACCAACCTGATCCCTTTCCAGAAGGGAATCCCAGTCATTGTCCTCTAACAGCAGTCTGGTTTTTTCGTAGCTTAAAGACACCCGGTAATTCAAGTCTCCAAGCCAGATAATGCGGCTGAAAATGCAAGTTCCAAAGTCAAAATTTTGGATGAAAATCCGCAAAAGATTATGGCTAGAAAAATATATTTTCTTCTATATTGACTTACTCGTGGTCAATAATTCTTTCTGGAATTTGACGAATTGGATTTTTGCAAATCCTGGGGAATTGCGTACTCTTTAGAATTTCAGCTACATCAGCATTCCTTCTGAGTTCATCTCCTTCCTTTTCCCCAGAAGCCAAGTGACTGCAGACAAAGCATAAGCTTGTTTGGTGCAATGACAAGCTTACTGATATACAGCCCTGCAGTAAAGTACAAAAAAAGTACTCAAGAGTACTGTTTTACCATGCAATTGTGTATATCCACAGTTAAAAAATTGGGCTGGTATCCCTTAAATTAATCCTATGAACCATTTTTTCGAGTGCCCGCATAAGGAAAATAGATGGCCAGGGGTGTAAAAGTGTCCAACTAAATTGAATATTGTAGAACTTATACTTGTTTGTTTACTTCAACGAATTTGAAATTGTATTCAAGTTTAGTTTGTTTTTGTATCAAATCAAACTAAAATGAGTTTTTGTAAAGCCAAATTCGAGTCGGGTTTAAGCAGGTTGAATTTTTGATATGTAAATTTTAAGATAAATGCTAATTGAACCAAACTTGAGTTAATTTAAAATTTTACAAAACACAATATACTGTTTATATTTGACTTAATTAGTTGGCCAATTAAATTCGAAGGAACTCTTATTGAACCGAACATAATTCTAGTATTGACTAGTTGGGTTTGTCTTTCACCGCTATTGAAGGTGCACCTCATCAAAGCAAGAATTAGACCAATATTAATGATGAATGAACAGTAAGTTTTTTTTTTCTTAAGGAATACTTTGGTTCGACTCTAGCTCTTTTCATTCTCTTTATCTTCTTTCCCTGAGGGTTGTAGCAGTCTCATTAATTTAAGCAAGAGGAATTGCTTGTCAGCACCTAGATTGAAGAATTGTGTCGGAGAAAGTCCCATGCGCCAAGTGCAATTTTATATACATGGCAGTGTCGACATCAGTAAGGTTTGTTTAATCCTAGGAATAGTTTAAGGGATTTCTAGCTAGTCTTAGGATGATAAACTAATAATTTGTCTGATAAAATATTTCGAGATACAGTCCATCATTAACCAACCAAAGACAGCAGGGCAAGGCAAGGAGAAGAGTAATGATCAAGTTAAACCAACCTTATTGCCAAGATAACCCATGATTCCTCTTCCAATGCAGGAGATTCTGAGATGGCCAATGTGTTGCACCAACTCTTTTCTGGCCCAAACTGAAAGAAAAATGCCTACCATTTGCTTGCTTGCGACAAGACGGTAACACATTCTAGGAGAAGGAATTTCTGCCAACTGAAGGAATTCATCCATGCTAGAATCTCCAGAGGAGAAAGGAGAAGCACAAGGGTCACTAAGCTTCCTAGGCAGCCTGTTCGAAATTGAAGATTCCAAGGGGCAATTGCAAATCTTGAGAAGGCTATTATCAATTTTTAGATTTCTGCTGAGCACTTTCAGAGATGGCTTATGGAAAACATTGGATTTTGAGTCCTTTGAGTTATGTGAGTGCTTTGAATTCGACCCCTCCGAAAATGAATCCATATATTCATGATATGACTTGTTCAGTGCTTGGCTTATGAGGGCTAGCCATTTCACTGCAGGCTCATTGTCTTCACTAACTAAAACATTTCCAGCACTCAAAGGAACAATCTCCTGAAACCTGAAATACGCATGCTATCTTAGTATCGATAATTGCACATAAAATTCAATAACCTGACTACTTTTTTCAATCAAATATGCAGGTGATCAAGCATACCCTAACACATATATATCTGAAGAGCCCTCCACCTGCAAGAAATGTTCAAGATTTAGGCCAGGATCAGGTGTCTTCCCTCCCACATTCCACGTTCCAACGAATATCCTACAACTCACAGAAACATTTACAACGCCTGCAACACTCTGTTCTCGTCTTTGACAAGAAATAGTAAGAGTCAAAAAACCAAGATATTTCTTTCTGGAATACCTGATGTCTTGAACAATAGTTGAAGGTGCCATAGGCTGGTCAAAGTATGAGAGGTTGAGGCCTTCAATCCGGGAGCTACTGTGCCTTTCTGGGAATATATAAGAATATAATAGAATGATTCCCACTTTGCTACGTACTAAGAAAGAAATTACTATGATAATTTCCAATGTCAAAGGCCTCTTGGCCAATATCAACAGTAAAAAACTACTTTCATATTATTCTAGTTTCATACTATTACAATGAATATCTTGGCAATAATCAATATACACTATAGTCTTCTGGTAGGTGAGCTACCCTGTACACTAGCCAGCCAAGATGATAAAACCTACAAGAATACTAATTCTACGACTACGTGTCTTTCAGCACTAGTACCAACAGTATCAATCATGGATTATCTTGTTTAATATGTCATTTTCAATACTTAACGCAATGTACAATTTTTCACAGGATGTATATAGAAGCGTGTGCAAATTATTCTTGTCCCTAAACAGATTCAATTAATATTGATGAGTCACTAGGTTCATAATCAGTAAACATTAATTTCAGAATAGAAAAGTAGGAAGGTTATACATAAAATTCTGTTATGTTATGTTGCACATGAAGAATACTAAAATCTCCACTGCATGCACCAGAAACGATTTTATATATTTTTTATGATCCCTACCTGAGAAATTTTTCTGCACAGAGGGCAATGACGCCTCTAGGAATACTTTCATTCTTGATGTCAGCCTGCTATCCAAATCTGTCTCCAAATAACTCAACAAGATATAAAGTACGAAAGATAAAGGAAAAAAACATTTATTTTTTGCTTGTCTATTTAAAACCTTGATATTCTCACGTAGAATACATTATTAATTTTTTTTAAAAAAAAAAATTCTAGGAGGTAACAAGAGGGGGAGACTCACCTTGATCATTTCCATCAAGTTGAGTAACATCTTCTTCTGAGCTTTCTCTACTATTTCTCTTGGAACTAAATATCTTTGGAAATATTGACTTTATCCCATTTCATGAATATCCAAAATACAAATTAGAAAAGGATAGAAGACAGATTTTTTTTCAAAAAAAAAAAATCAAGAATACATGCTATTAGACATAATGGAATACAAATACATCTGAGGGCTACTTTAAAAAAAAAAAAAAAAGGAAAATAAAGAAGAGGATGTATACCTTCTTTTTCTTTTCACCCTTGACAGAATTTTCAGGAGTTGTGGACTTGCTTGAACAGCAGGAACTGCTGGGGTTAGTCATGTGGGCTTTTTCCTCACCCATGGAAGGCCTTCTTCCTGGAGATGACATTCATTCTATTGCTAATATTCTGCAACTGTAAATTTTTGTATGATTCTTAGGTTAATGGTCAGCAG